AAAGGAACTAAAATAATTCGAATTTACAATGTGCCATTTAATCATTTTATTCCGAATATGTTCCGCTAAATCAGAATTTCACTTACGAATTAATCAACAATTAACAATATTAATCCTAGCAATTTGCATGAAAGATACAAAATGATTCTTCATCTTTAATGAACGAGCCGAAAGCTACGAAGGGAATATTGGACAATGAGGATCGGACATTCCAGTTGTATCTATCCTAGAAGTCTATCCCTAAAATCGTCAGCTTTTGTCCACTCGAATCAATCTGCTAACAAGTTTCTACCCTCTTAACCATTCACACGATTGATTTGATGAAGCTGCGAAAAAAGCTTCAACATCAGCTCTTTCCGAGCATAGCTGTGCGCTTTTGTACGAATCGTATTTTATCATTTTTTTGAAATGCGGAATTTCTTGTAAAATTTACAATATGATGTGATCCGTAATTTTTTACTTGAATCTCGTAGGACGCAATTTTTTCGCGCAGAAATGCACTTCAACGAAAAACCTATAGAAATTATTGAAATTATAAGCACACTTCTCTCTCTCTCTTTCAATCTCTTTCTCTCTTTCTCTCTTTCTGGTCATGAAATCGGTGATACGCTGCAACCGATGAAAAATGCGAAATGCAAATGGAACATGTCACACCATTATTTGATCCGGATGCTCGTAGGGAGTTTCTTTTTCAGGATGGCGCATTGGAGCTCTTGCGATAGTGAGAGAATTTAATATCACGCGTCCTAGTTCGCTAAACCCGAAGCGAATAGTTTTTACGTAAAGATAATTTAACTATATACATATAATATAACTTTGCGAGCAAATTGTATCATTCGGATTTAATATTAATAAACTTTATGAAAGAAGTTTTAATACGTATTATAATCTGTTAAAGCGGTATAGTAGTTGAGATCAAGCATCAAAGATCTTATTCTAATACAATTTTTTTTTAAATCAGAACCAGAAAAGTGTAATATGTGAAATACGTAATCGAGATTATTCGTTTGTATAATTAATTTCTTTTTACAAAATTAGTTACCTTGATGAGAAACACAGTGATCTTTTCATGTGCGTGCGCACAAAATAATTAATTGTAAAAATATATACGCAAAAACACACTTCTGTCGACGCGTTTGTAATTTCAAAATGATTCAAATAACATCTTTTGAGAGTCTATTGCCGAGTGCAAAATCAATAAGAATGTCACAGAGAGTCTTTCAAAGAATTTTTGAAACACGATAATGATGCATTGTAATATTTTTAATTTAGAAAAGATAGACAATGAAAAGTAAAATTTTTAAATTGTACTGTAATTCTCTCTCTCTCTCTTTCTCTCTCCCCCTCCCTCCCTCCCTCTCCCCCCTCTCTCTTTTTCTTTTTCTTTCTCTCTCTTTTTCTCTTTTTCTATATATATTTTCTTATATTTATTACAATTTTATTTTTTATCTCTTATTTTTCTTCCCTAAATTAAAAAATGAAACAGATTAAAACTGTTAGTTATGTAATTACTTTTTCCACTCACCCTGTAATTTATGTATGTCTAAAGAAATCTCTTTTAATTGAATTGTATGAATTATATATAAAATTTGAAAAAACTGTAATATTTTGTACAAAACGAAAATTATTCTTAATAATTGTTAATAGAAAAATGGATAAATTCAAACTTAGAACGATTAATAATATGAGAATTATTTAATATGTTATAGTAGTAAAAACTCATAAAATTATTAATTATATGTAAAATCATTAATAAAATTATTAATTATATGTAAAATCATCAATCCTTACATCACTCAAAAGTTCATCTTTTTATAAGTGGCATTATTTTTATAATGCCTATTTTATACAAAAATTGGTCGCGAAAATTTAAAAAAATTGCAAATGAAATTCAGAAATCCTTTTGATATAAGCGAAAATAATATAAACAGACAATCATATATAAAGCAAAGTGATAGCTTTCATTTATAGTATGCAAATATTTATAATATGTATATAGATAAGAGATGCAAGTTATTACGCTCAAGTATTTTTTAGAATTGTAGATATACTGTAATGAAACTGCTCAGTGCATCGAGATCACATTGATTCTGCAGAGTTGAAACTGTTCGAAACTGTGATTGCTATCGGGCAACCGAGAAAATATTTATTTGTAATAAGCTCTCGTAACTATGTACTTTCCAGTATTATGTAAGGCAAACGCAAGAAAAACAATCTATCCAATAAATTAGTTTTTCGAAAATTTATTCTTTTACCATGTACTATTCGTGAATAAGTTACGCGTGAATAAGAACGCATTCGAATTTTTGTGTCACTGCCTTTGTATCGCATTTTAATTACAAGCGACATTAATTTTTTCTAATCATTGATCGGACGCATGTGTGGTTCGTGATTTATAAACCAATTTTCTTCGTATATATCATCTGGGTTATTATTTCCCTATTGGATAGCCATGCGATATTGCACATTATAGTGTATTATCGTAATAAAAAATATTTATTACTGTTTAAAATTTCAATTGCTGCGCATTTGTCGTTTTTTGTCATATAATTACCATAAAACAGCTATATGGCAATGCAATTTTTATATAACGCTACTATTTATATGTTTTTAAATATAATGCAATAATCTCTTATTCATTCTCGTTATATATACTATATAAAAAAATTAATTGCTATAAATTGTAAAATTTTTTCATGTGCATTTGATATGAAAGGATACAATTGACAATTATCATAGCGTTGCCATCTATTGTAAATTTTATGTATTTGTTATGTATGTTATAACTTGTGAGCAATATTACTTTACTATGTTTTATCTAAAACATTTTAATATTTCTTTATAATTACGAAAGCATTTTTAGTTTAGGAAAATATATATCTTTTGGTTTAATTGTGTGTCATGACTTTTATATAATTTATATTCAAAACTAGAAATCATTATGACTAAAACCTGTGATACCTACAAAAGAGGCTGGCAGAAAAAAGCTTCATGTAAAAGTTTCATTCTGTCTATACTTCGAAAATGTAATCCTATCTAAAGAGTTTACCTCGCTCTGTATAGGAAGAAATCTGCTTGAAATGTAAAGAAAATAGAGATGCAATTAGCCAGTCGCTGCTAAAAGCTATATTACATGCAGTTATTGCAGATCTTGACTGCATTGACAACTAATAATTTGGTTACATTTTTTAAATAATTATCTGTGAAAATTATCAAGGTATCCATAGAATGATAATATCCAGCATTTCAATTTCTGGTGAATGATAACATGCAATAGCTGCATGTACTATTTTTTTCACAATTTAAAATTGTTATCAATTTGTAAAGAAAATACAGAATTATCATCTTGAGTTAATTGTTAATTTAATCTTACTTTGCTCAAAATGATTTTGATAATTTATTTGTTGTAAAGTTGTGCACAGTCTACGCTATGAAGAGATAATTAAAGATCTAACATACGTATTATACGTACTATAAATATTATATTATGTATGATATGATATTCAGAACAGTGATATATTATTTAAATGAAAAGCAATATTTTTTTCTTCTTTTTTTTGAAAGAAGATATTTGATGTTCTCAGAATTATAATATAAGAATATGAAAGTAAGAATTTGCATAGAGAAAGGAATATAACATATTTGCAGTTCTCCACAAAGTTATAGACTAAATTACGTAGTAAACATCATTTCTTAAATATATGCAAATTTCTATATTTGAAACACTGCAATTATATAATGAATATTTATGAGATGCAATTTTGTTAGAATTGCAGAAACTGTCACATATACAACTGACAATTATAATCTTATGCACCTGACAGTTATAATCTTATGATGTATAGATAAATTAACTGTTTTGGTATTATATTATATATATATATATATATATATATATATATATATATATATATATATATTCGTATAAACTTTATTTTAGTAACTTTACAGAATAAAATTTACATTAAAAATTTTACACTAAAGAGATTTTAGATTAATTACAAATTTACAATATTCGTAAATATTACGTGTGTTTTTTCTGTATTATATTCAGTCTCATAATAACTAATAATACGTGAAATACTAATAATAAGTGAAAATAAGAATTTATGCAATAATCATTATTTAAAAGAACAGCAACACATAATTTATAACAATAATTTTAATAAATTTTATATAATTGTACAGCAAGAATAAAAGTTTAATGCTAGATTATATTTCTATTAAAATAAATGCTATGCACTGTTTTTATGTGCGTTGTTAATTTTTAATTCATTGCCTGCAGCTAGTACAAATTTATTTTATTTTACGTTTGATTTATTTTTATGAAATTCAAATAAGTGAAATAAAATAATAAATAATAACTTTTCCCTTTAATTTTTTCATAATTGCAAATGAAATAAAAACTAAAATAAATTGAATTTTGTTATAATTGTGGCTTTTTAAAAATAATAATTTATAGTATTTTTATTTTAATATAAAAATAATCTTTTTTTTTCTCTTTTTTTCTCCTTTCTCTTTCTTTTTCTTTTGTATATGTAAAAATATATTACAATAGAATATTCGAAAACAGATATACATAATATCAGTTTACAATACTGTTATTTTATTCGGTATATATGTTTTAACATTTGTACTTTTTATTCTTAATTTTCAAATATTTTTTGTTACAATTATAAGTACACAAAATAGCACATAAATATACCTTAAATATATATAATTATGTAGACACACATCATAAAAATGTAACTCGGTTATCGAGTCGGAATCTCGGATTATTTTTAATTGAGATCAAGATTTTTAGACAAATAATTCTTTATTATTCTATTTTTACAACAATTAGAATCATTTGATAATACAATTTCGATTTTTATGTAATTATTTTGCTATATAAATAATAATATACATTCACAATAGTTTTTACCTTAAAATCTTATTTTCTTTTATTTTTATCGAAGTTATAAATTCTAATATATTCTAATACTGTAATTTATTCGGCGGAATGTAATATTTATTGGTCGGACAATATATTAAAATTCTTAATAAAAGCATACGAAGTCAGTTGTGTTTACTTCGCTTATCGCTAATTATTACTGGCTCTACTATTATCAACATCTTATCATTAAATATATCTCTTCATATGAGGGACGCAAATATGTTTAAACAGGAACTTATACGCGCATGAGATTATCTTTTGTGTTAAAGAACAATATGCCATATGTTTTATCATTACAACAGAGTAATTCAAGTATCACCGATTGTAACTTTCTACTTTAAGTAGCCGCGACTAGATAAATTGTGATTTGGGAATTAGCTTTTGTGAAAAGAGAAATACCATTAAAATATAAACTCGATCAATATATATTTAATGACATAAAAATTATTTTATATGCACATATGCAATGTTTTCCAGTTTTTTCTCTACGAGGCAACTAATCGATCATGTACGTTTGGTTCTGTCAAAATTCGTTGATTTTTTGACGATTCCTCGATGCCGTTTGGATATGCTGACAGAGTGATAGTAGTTTCTTGCTCCTTGATTGGAGTACTCGATCTCATGTCACTCGCCATCATGGAGAGACGCATGACACTTCGTTGCTCCCGGCGAGAATCACCCAAATATTTTCTCGAACTGACAAGTGAAAAACTTTGCCCTCGTCGAGAACTTAGGTCTGACAATCGTCGATCCCGTCTTCGCATCCTCTTCGTGGCGCAACATAATAGATATCTGACAAAGTTTGGACATGATGAATTAATGAAAGATGCACTCATCTGAGAAAGGAACTTAGTGAATTAGAAAAAAAAGATTCATATTAAATTATTCAAAAATAACCAATGATTTGTAACATTTTTTAATATAAAGACTTTCAAACTCGACAAATATACATGTATATGTGAAATTATTCAAAAAATTTTTATAAAAAGTTATTTCCTCGAAGAGTACAATGATGTAATATTACGAAGCTGTTTTCTTTGCTACTGTATTGTAATAGATTCTATGAATTTACCTGTCAAAATATTTTCTGAAAGTACCACTCACGCAGTAGAGAGCAATGGGGTTGATACAGCTGTTGGTGAAAGCAAGACAGAAACCCAAAATACGGAAATAATGCCAGAAGGCGTTGTAATCCTTTTGCGCAGTTGGATGGATGTAAAACCATAGCATGAAAACGTGTTGTGGGAAAAAACATACAGCGAATACAATGACGAAAGCCATCACCATCTTTGCCACTTTTTTACGAGCTTGTATTTGCTTCATCTGGAATATGTAACGCATGTATTAAAGTGTGCACATGTAAAAGTGTATAATATTTATTGTATAAACTAACTAAATGTTGTAATAATCTCATAAATCTTGACGTAATCTAAAATCATTTCCAAATGATAAGAGAGAATATCCAAAACGATGAAGAAAGGAAGAAGATTGAAAATTAAATTTTGATTTTCTCACATTATAATTAAACGTGTGCAATCAAATTTTACCTGGCCCTGCATTTCGCCGATTATATTTCTTGTACTGCGCATTAAATGCCTTGCCATCAACATGTAGAAAACAGCAATGATACTGAGAGGTATCACATAGTAGATGAAGAAGCGGCATATCAACAACACTTTTGGATAATTTGATCCAAATTCCTCCGGATACGGATAGCACGCCTTCAATTGCACAAACATACATCGAAATCGTTAGAGGGATGTTTGCTCGACGTTTCATAGAGGAGGGTAGAAGCGTCGTTCGCTTTAGTACTGTATACAGAGGTTTACGACGAGCTTTACACACAAGCTCGATCTAAAACGGGACTCGTTATGAACATGATAAACCAACTTACGCAGAAGCTCACGTTCCGGTTAACCTTGAAGACTCTGATATACGAGAAGGAAGCCGGGATCGCGCATATTATAGCCAAAATCCAAATCAGCACCACAACGATCGCAGTAAAGCGCGTCACACGTCTTCCGCTACCTTAAACGAATAATTGGATAATTAATCGCTGCACCTTGTTTCTGTCTCTCGCTCGAGATATAAATTTTACCTATCAAGAAAAGTATTGATTGTCAATTTGAACATTCATTGCATCTCTAACAAAGAAAATTCTTATTTGCGATATCAATGATTTTCTTCGATATCTTTTTTTATCTCGTATTTTATATGAAATCTGTCAGTTTACAAAATTGTAATCATATACCTGTGACGTGTAATTTTCGCATAGGATCCACGATGGCGAAGAATCTGTCCGCTGAAAGAGCAGTCAGCGTGAAAACGGAAACACCGATTGAAACGTCCTTTGCGCATTCGGAAAGCTTGCATAGTAATAATCCAAAAGGCCAGGAATCCAAAATGTAGACGGTAAAGGTGAACGGAACACATGTTACTATGACCTATAAAATAAAATGAGCAACTACGTGATAAAGATCGAATTAAATACAAGAAGAAAATTGAATAGAGAGAAGGATATACATATATATATCAATTGAACTTCAATAATATATTGAGATTCGACCGAGACTTAGTTTTATTCAATTTAATATCATTAACATTCCCGTTAAAAATAAATTAAACAATTAAATGTTTTGAAATTAAAACATTATTTTAAATTTAAAAATTTTATGTTTCGAATAATTACCACGAACCAATTCCTTTCATAATTAGAACCGATTTCGTATAAATCATGATTCTTAACACATTTTAGTTAAAAGGCGATAGTTAAAAGGCGATAAATAAATCCATCGTATGTTCTCATAAGCTCATCGTAACACTTTGTTCACGAATATTTGCTTGTATAGTATTTATATGTAATAGATAAAAAAAAAATCAACAGTGTAAAGATCGAAGTATTTATAGTTACATCATAAAGCTGTTGCCTGAAATTTCAGAAATGATATACAAGTTGGTTAATTATGGCCCGAAAATTCTGTCGGTCCATGTAAATATCATTGATATGCATTGTTGCGTAAGAGAGACGTGAATCGAACCATCCATTACATAGGAGTATTACATAGGATTTGCTGTGAAGCAACGAGACGAGAATCGACAGACTTGTGGTAGCTGCATGCATCGACGTCACAACGAAGCCGATCGATTTTGCTCTTCTATCCTATGTAACGATATCCGCTAAGTTTAATAACAAAATTAATTGCTTCCACACGAAATACGCTGCCCATTATAGATGCGATATATACATATATAAATATATATACATATGCAAATGTGAGTGTCAAATAAGTTTTTAAACCGCAAAAAAATTAAATTCAGATTCTATTAATGCAGATATTTGACAGGTGAAGCGAACGAATCGATCATCTTCCTGATCTTATCGAATGTGAATAAAAGAGTTAGAGGGCAATTTACTTGAAAACGCGTTTATTTTTAAAAAAAACTCCATCGCAGATTTAAAAAAGCTTTCGAAAGAATAGGACTAAAGTGACAATAAGTTATCTGTTAAAAGTTTAATGTGACGTTATATGTCAATATTTTATACCTTATTACTCAACAATATGCATTAAGTTTAATAATAAAACTAATAGCTTCCGTAAAACATGTCCATCACAGACAACATTATATATATATATATATATATATATATATATATATATATATATATAAGCGCGTTTTAAAGTACATTGCTCTTAAGCGTTTTTACTCAAACATATTCAATAAAATCAGGAAGATGATAGATTCATTCGCTTCATTTGCGTTCATAGAATTCGAATTCTATGTAAGACGCACTTATTTTAAAAAATTGCATTGCAGCTTTTGAAAAAAGGCTAAAGTGGCAATCCATAAGCTATCCGTTAAGTTTAATGTGATGCTATGTCAATACTTTATAATGTTTTACTTTTATTGATGATGGCTTAAACATGATCGATGCAATGTTATTTATTATAAATATGTTTCGTGACGATGGATGACTTTTTTGAAAAACATTGAAATGTATTCTATTTAGTCTATATCATATAAAGCAAATATTGCACGTATAAGAATATGATTGTACATGTCAGAAATTTAACAATATTGTATTGTATCTGTAAATGTCTTAAATTATAATAATAATAATTATAATAATTTTTCATATAATATTAAATCCTCGAATTTGTGAAATTTTTCCAAATTCTTGAAATTTTGACAGATGATAACAGCTTTTCATACAGCCGCATTTAATTCTACTTATCATTACTTATTAATATATCAGAAGAAAGCAAAGAAAATAATAAAAATTTTAATGTAAATGTATGAAAATATGCAAAAAATATTATCGAGTAATATATATGTAATTTATGACTATTATGATTTTATTTATATAAATATCGACACACATAGAAAGTAATAATGGAATAAAAATGTAAAATATATATATATATATATATATATATATATATATATATATAGATGAATAATATTATAAAAATAAATATCTTTTTTATACATTTTTATTCCATCTAGATATATATATTTTTATTTTATTACTATTTTATTTATTTTTAAATATTTGTTTTTATACAAGTTTAAAAAACTTGTAACCAACATAAATTGTAAAATTGGTGGAAATTTGAAAAAGTATCCTTTGATAGATATTCACAGCTGCACAAATACTCGTCAACATCTCAAATATTGATAAGCTCGGTTAAATCGATAGTTGGTGCTCACGGCGGATACATCCACACGAGCAGCGTCGGATTTTTTGTATGTCACGTGTATACAGAATTTGTCAGTTGAAAAAGAAATCGAAATGTTTTACGTGCCAGTAAATCTCCGAGCGCCAGGGACAGGACATACGTATTGGGCACGTTTCTCATATTCGAGTGCCGAAGGATCGTAAGAGCTAGCACACCATTTCCGGTGAGGCCGATCAGCAGAATCAAGAGAAAGATGATCGGTACAAAGTACGTCTCGGGCCGATCGCTGTAGGGTGTGTATTCCTCCTCTTTGTCGTTGATCTCTTTCGTTATGTTATCGTCACGAACGACTACTCCATTGGTCTCGGTGTAATTGAACGTTAGTACCAGTGGTATTCGCGTCGTAAGCGCCAACATCATGAATGATAAAGTTAACGTGGCGCTCGTTGAGTACGGCCAGGAGGACATGGCCGTTCGTTCTAAAAAGCGCTAGTCGCGAGAAATGTTTCTCCTCTTCGTTAACGAGAATATAACCCCTTTTGCATTTTGATCTTCCTCTTCCTCTCGTTGTCAGCGTTACAAAACCGGCGTCGGCGACAGTTACATGCGCCGGCTGTAAAATAAAAAAAGAAGAGTTGATGAAGCACTTTTATATGGAGCTTGCAGAAAGTTTGAAACTAGTTTGTTTATTATGAACTTTTGATGTGAAAAAAAGTCATCAAATAATTTTCATATGTTGTAAGCATAATCAAAGATAAACGATATCCAAAATATCACTTATTCGAAGTAGATAACAAATACGTAGATAATAAATATGTTCAAAGGAAAAAGGTAATAATGGCGATAGTAATTTGAGTAATAATCTCTAAATATTAAATTTGATATTTAGTTTATTGATGATGAAAGATTATCTCTTGTGATATACGTAATTATTATAATTAACATGCTTTAACGTGATGTTAATTTATTACTATTATAATGTATTTGAATTAACGTATGAAATAATGCATTTCAATATATACGCAAGCTGAACATTTGTATTTAGACAGCAATGAAAATAATTAGAGCAAGATGACAAGTCTTTCACTGTTTGCATAATAGTTCTGAAAGCTTTTGATAAAATAGGAATGTATAATTAAAAAGGGATTAGAAGAAATTAATAGAAATATGGAAAGAGTTATTTTTTTCGTCGCACTATCAAAGTAAAATGTCGTGTAACATAAAGTAAAATAATTACATATTAAGATGGGAAAATGTGCATAAAAGTAATAATATTTATGCTTTTTAATTAACTTGCTTAGTCTTGTATGTATATATTAAATGATTATAGTAGCTTATTTTTCTCTTGACATCTTATTCCCGAATCGAAATTTTCTTCTATTTTCAATTCTAATTTTCTCATATTTATGGATTCTAGAGAAAGTAAAGAATGGAGATAAGTTTATGGATTTTAAAAGAAGCTTTCAATATAAATGTAATTTGTATAGAAATTGAGTTATTTCTCTTACTTTGTATCTCAAATAGACAAAAAACGGATAGTTTGAAAAAGAAGCTTTCGAGAAAATTATTTCTTTAGATTTATAGATAAAATAATTTAAAAAATAATAGTGATCTGAGTGTTTAAAGTAAACGTTAAATTGAAAATTGAAATAGAAAGTAAAAAAAAAATTTCGACTAGAATTAGTTTTCATTTTTGTTCGTTTCTTGTAAAGCTTTTTCAATCATTAGAGCTATAGAATAGAATTAATCTTTTCTTCAAATTAATCATTTTTTTATGTCAATCCTTAAAGGAGATTTTATATTTTTTCGCATCGGATTAACTTTCATCTTCATTTTTCTTTGAATTATGCATTCATTACAGGATATAAATAAGATATTATGTATGCATTACACGATATAAACAAGAGAAATATTGTTTTTCTTTAAATTTTCTAAAATAAATAAACATATTTTTCGATGATTACCACAAAGTATGTAAAACTGTATGCATATCAACGATATGTTCACGAAAAAATTTATTTATTTATTGTAAAATTTTTTCAAGAATACAACTAAGCATCGTCATACAAACGGATTTAGTCAAGACAGATAAATTTTATTTTCTGAATTGTAATTAGTTTTACTTTTATAATTAATTCTTATTTCAATTATCTCGAAATTTCTCATTAATGAAGATTACGATGGAATTTTTACAATAAGTCATAGTGACAAAGTTGTATTCGCAAATATATTTGTAATCAATAATACCCTTTCGAAATCCTATAAGAGATCTTCTTTAAAGATCTTCACGTGTAATTTTATATACGCATATGTCATGGTTTTAAATGTAATATGAATTTCTCTTGTGTGTCAAAGCACATGAGAATAATCCTCCTATAGATGTATCGTTAGTCGTTAATCGATTACAATACATTTCATGCAATTCAGAAGAGAAATGCCGTTGGCTATATAGAAGGACATCAGTCAAGCAACGATAGGTTCAAACTCGTTCACATCCGATACCGGTTGACAAATTACAAAGTAAACTCTCCGATACATTTTGATTATTCTTGAAAAAAGAAAATCGACAATAGAAATTTGAAAATTTAATTAATAAATTCTGGTAAGAGTAAATAAAATTATCCCTGAGGCTTAATAAATTATATGTCATACATTCTGTATGTGTATTTACACAAATTTTAATTGACTATAGACTTCAATAGTTCATTCAATAGAGTTCAATAGTTTACTTTAATATATCATTCCAACTTTTTTCATTGTACTAGTGTATAAATTAACGTATAACTTCATAATAGAAAGATAGAACTTGACGTATAAATGTCGAACTGATAGATTGCATAATAAAAACAAAAGAATCAAGAGAGTTACCTTTGTTAAGCAATTATAATGTTTAAAATATTCAAAATATAATTTAAATCCACTTAGAATGCATCTAGATTAGAATGCAATGTACGTTGTACAATGTACGTTCTGTTGACTCGTACATACGCAAGCGGAATCTACAACTTGCTTGTCACGTATAAATCTAATATAAATCTAAAGGTTGTAAACAAGATAATAAGATACAATAGGATTAGAGGCATATATGTCGTTTAACACATATGTCAGAATACATAATTTAAATTACTCCTACTTTTTCATCGGTAACGACTCTGCGAATTAAATATCGGCGAAAGATACGGTTGAAGATATACGAAACGTCATATTTTTGGCAAGCTAAAATAGAATTCGAAAAATATACAATTAAAGATATATAGCAGATATATAGTACTTTATAAATGAAAAATTATTTTTTAAACGTGTTTAGGACATTTTAGGATAAATATTTTCGCCTGGATATACGAATATTAGGAGAATTAATAGGAGGTAAATGATGGACAGATTCGATTTCAGCCGGTTATGTGATTTGGCAGCATTCCAGAGATTGCATTACCGATTCTCATGTATAACTAATGAACGGATTAAAGGGAGAGAATGAGAACGGCAGATAGTATACGTGATAAAATCGAGTAGAATGGTTAATTCCTACATTGAGCACATCGCAATAATCCATGAAAGCGGTGCAATATGTATCCATATCTGGACAGCACTATTGTAATAACATTGCACCTCTATTTGGCTTCAAATTTCTATGTTTAATACAGGTCTCACGATCTGTGTTGACATCTCTATTCGCAACATCCTTGCAATTAGTGACATGCATACTGAATGCGCGATGTACTTCTGTGCTTTGAATTACTTACTGCAAATATCACTCTCTGAAAGAAATTACTCTCCGTCTCTCATTTGTTTGAAACGTTCGTGATTGCAATCAAGTCGCGAAATCGAGTGGAACTCGGCTATTGGAAAAAAATGTACAATTCGAGTAAAATTGCGTTTGTGATGTTTTTGAAAAACTATCTAACTAAGCGTGTTTGTAATAATTATAAATAGCCGTATTCAAATGTTTATTAATGCGAAAGATTTGTGAGAAGAAATGTAGAAATTTCGTGTAAGATTTTAATAGTTGAGCTTATAATAACTAATCTACAGTTTTTATAGCTTTTACGTCAACACCAGAAAAATGTCATGTATGTTTATACGTGGGTGTGGATATTTCAGAAGGTAAATATTTTCTGTCTTTGCTTTTGCGCTTAATTAAACTTTCTATGCATGTTACTTATGTAAGATTTTGTGAGATTTAGTCTCTCTGAGCTTATAATAATATAATCAATAGTTTTTACATCAAGCATCAAGAAAATGTCAAATGTATCTATATGTGGGTGTGAATATTTCTATCAGAAAGTAAATATTTTTTGTCTTTCCTTGTACTTAATTAAACTTTCTATATATGTTACTTGTCACTCTGTAATTTTCGTGTCGACATTGTCGCACAACTTATCCTTTTGAAATAAAATAATTGATTGCTCTCAATTTATGTCTTTCATCGTGAGTTGCATTGCAATTATATTTTAAAAATATTTGTTTGCACATCTCTTAGTATTATAATAAACATGTTAACGTGGTAGAAAAACATGATAGAAATACATATTTATATTATAATGTAAACAATTCGTTGATGATGTAATGCAAATGTAATTTGGGATTATGATGGTACGGAATTGTAAGTATGTCAGACCTTGACATAATCTATAATAGGTTATTTTAGATACGGATACAGAGACTTATGAATATATATGTGCAAGATACAGAATTTGAAATAAAAAAAATTTAGGAAGAAAAAAATGTTTTCTTCCAACATGCAATAAGAGGTTCATATTGTGTAAAAAGTTCTTATTTGATTCTCTCTCTTACTTAAAACATCTTATATAAAACATGCTATATATTGTTTCTTTATAAAATCGATATTTCTTTAGATGAAACCAGTAATTGAATACAAAATTTCATCAAACGACATAGTCATTATGCATACTCTGTGAATCAAACTTCTACAATCTGTATTTTCCTACGAATAGAATAACTTTCCCTAGAATTTGTTGTCACCGTATTTCTTTGTGAAAACGAGAAATGCTCCCACGTGTAAAACGCGAAATCTCGGCTGGCATCGTAAACATTTTAACGATCTATGACGAGAATCGTTTTACATAACCGTTTTTCTCTCAGAGAAATATCGTATTAAAGCGGCCGTTAATTGGGAGAAAATAATCAGATCCGGGAACATAGCCCATGACGAATTTGTGCAATTGCTTGACCATCTTACTTTGTAACTATATCAGTAATATATCAAATGTTACATTTTCGCTCTTATGAGTTGTACTTTAATTTACGAATCAAATGTGCACACTTTATATACATATATGTGAAATGTACCGTGATATGTTGAGATATTGAAATATTGAATCTCGTTTTTCTACATTCTGACTATATTTCGACTAACAATGTGACACAGTTTCTTGTTCAAATACTCTGGTATATTTTGGAAATATTTCTTTTTATGACGAAACCTTAATAACTAGCGAAAAAGATTATTGCAATTTTATATTTATTCAATATACAGTATTATTTTCTCGCCTCTGTGACGTATATTTTATCATTTACATAAGCAGAATGAGTATGAACATGAATGTGGAATAAAGCAAAACAATTGCTTCTGAAAACATATTGACACTTAGA